TTATTTTGGTATTATGGAATAATTTGTAGCAAATAATTATTAAAATCAAATGTATGCACATTGAGACAAATATATTGAATCTAACAAGATCTTGCAAATAATAATACAAACTAAGCCCACTTATTCACTTAAACAAGAAGATCAAACCAAATATGACATTAGGTAGATTTTTGACAAAATCATATTAGATCTTCCTTGTATTAAATTTAGACAAAACTACGTAGATTTAGCCATGTTGAATGAAATAATATAAGACGGGTCAGGTTTTTATCCAGCAATTAGTAAATAATTAGAATTAGAGATGAAAAAAAGACCTCATATGTTATGTCAACTTATCTCAAACAAGTGAACACTTATCATAAAGACATAAATCTATATACACCTTTACGACTATACCTAAATGTATCCAACGTTATACTTTTGCTCATTTGTTAGTTTCACTTTGTCTAGGGATTTTTTCGGGTCCATATAAAATTTTCACAAACAAGTATTCCATAGTTACCTAAAAGGGAATGTATAGCATAATCAGTCACCAAAATGAAAATGACATTTTTAAAGGATTATAATTTGTCCATTATAGCTTAATATCCTAAACCTGATATTTTTCTTAAGGCAAATGACTAAATGTTACAACTTGGTTATTTTATTATAGGAATATTCTTCAATTTAGTAGCAAGAGCCTTGTCTTTTTTTAGCTCTAATGTTTGGTTACATCAAAAATGTCTTCCAATGTCTTCCATTAGTTTCAAAATCGGGCAATTTTACAATATACACACACTTTAGATTCATTTTATATCAACTCATATTTTTCCTTTGGTCTAATCAAGAAAAAAGCCTAATCAAACTTTTGTTTTTTACTTTTTTAATTACAAACTTTAATGCACTAAATGTTATTTCGTGCTATTTACATTGATTAAATGAATGAATTTTCGTGTGCTTCAACTATCATTGTATCTTGGTCCACTCTTTGTATTAACTCTTCCATCAAATATAAGTTTGAAGGATTGGCTACATACAATTTAGCCACCGTTAGATTCGCCACACATTATCATTGTAGGTTAGAAGTAAACAATAAACGTCCTAATTAATTTCCAATGACATATAGGTGTTTACAAACCTAATTACGAGAAACCTAATTACACAAGATATATATAGATGTTTACAAACCTAATTACGAGAAACCTAATTACACAAGATATATTTTTACAGAATATTAACAAGATAATATTAACCTATTATCTATCAATATTAACATAAACATAGCTAATAGTCATACTATAATTATGATCTAAATTATATTTGACGGTTAATATCGAATACAACATAGGTCTTAGATAGTAGATCGACCACAAAAAAAATTACTCCGTATTAGTCGACCAAAAAACAAACCCGTGTCATACTTCAATGCATATAGATAGACCTTACAATAAACTCAAGCTTGGTAGATGACAAGATGCATATGAACATACAAAAATAATACAAGTAAATATATAAAACTGTAAATTAGTTAATTAATGAGAGGTGAGGTGACGCAAGTTATGAAATGACAAGTAACTGAGGAAAGAAAATAGAAAGAAGAGAGTAGAGTGTTGTGTTGATGCCCATAACTTGGACTCTTCAAAGTAGCCTTAAATTGGAAACTCTGTGTCAGCTTGTCTTACTCTTAAGCTTATTAACTTTATGTTTTTTTTTTTTGGTTGTTGTAAATATCAAATTGCTGCTTTACTGCTTCTTCACTTGTTGATCAGTCTCCTTCAATTCATTACTTCACTGCTTATATTATGACAAAGAGATATAGTGTTATTTATGTATGTGTTGTATGTTCATTTTTTGTTTCCCCTTTTTTATATTTAATCTTCTGCAACCTTTTTTGTTGTTCCCAAATGATGATGACCTTTTTCCATTTATGTACGTATGTAATAGTTTTGTGCGCTTTTTGTTGACCGGATTATGCTCAATATTATATTACTTATTTATTTACAATAATCTTAATTCTATAAAATTTGTATCAGAAAAAGTAAGTTTAAATTGTTCTACAAGATTAATAGGCCGTAAACATATTCTTAAAATAAGTTTAGATAGAGCTACAACATTAATGGAGACTAAACATATGTTTAGTCTTATAATTATTTGGAAAATTGACTAAGGTTCCTTGAATTAAGGCCCTAGTATTTTTTTAAAATTTTTTATTTACAAAGAGTTCTATAAATGAAAAGCATGATTACAATCTAAACTAAGTAAAAAAAGCATGATTAAGGCCCTAGTTGTGGTAATTGGTTTAACCAATTAGTTACATAAGATGATTTTAATAACTTTTGAAATATTTTTTTTAGCTCCAAAAACAGTTGATGGTTTTGTGATAAAAGCATCTACAATCTCTACAATCATTTATGTACTATATATACAAGGCTAAATGATAGTTTTTACTCTTGAACTCACTCCTAACAAATATTTTCTCTGTTTTTTTTATTTAACATGTTTTTTTTTATCACGCTTGTCGATGCACAACTTTAACCATCAATAACTTTAATTCTCTATAAGTAAATTTTTTAAAATTTATATATTGTGATAGTACTAAACGATTCTAACAAGATATCACATGAATATGTTTTTCCTTACGTATAATTCATAAAAGACGGTCAAAGGTGGGGTGGTGAATCGTGTAAAAGTCAAAGCGGGTCAAGTAAAAAATAATAGAGGAAGTATATAATAAGATATGATGAAAAATTACCATAGCCTTTTGTTGTTCTCACTCCATTTATCACTTATTTCAAATTTTATTAGTGTCAATAAAATATGATGATAATGGTAAGATATATTACCGAAAACTAATTTAGATTTCAACGCCGTCTAATAAGTTGAGGGTTCATAAGTTCAAAAAAGGAAGATGATATGAATTCCAGGTTTTAAGGGGATATATATCTTATACTTGTAGTTTCCTTAACATGTAAATTATATCTTGTGCGTATCATTTAGCAATTTGATATCAAAATCCATATATGTCAATATTAAGGGCTTAAGGCACAAAAAAAAAAGTTTTAAATTCAAATACTTCCTCCGTTCTTTTTTTATTGCACCATGAGGAATTCCACGTTTGTCAATGCATTACTTTAGCTATAAATATCTTCAATTATACTTTTGTAAAAATTATAAAAATTTGATATTTGAAAAGAAAATTTCCATATGAATCTAACTAGATCCCACATAACTATATTTTTCCTAATAGATAAATCACAAATGGTGGTCAAAGAGGATGAAGTGAATAGTGTAAAAGTTCTAATGGTGCAATAAAATAAAAACGGAGGAATTGAAGTATATAAGATAAGTTATGATTAATAAGATAAATTTCATCAAAATACTACTTCCTCCGTTCTTTATTACTTGACCCACTTTGACTTTTACACTATTCACTACCTCTCCTTTGACCGTCTTTTGTAAATAATATATAAGGAAAAATATATTCATGTATGATCTTTTTATATTCGTCTCAATAATTACTATCATAATACATAACTTTTATAATTTTTACTTATGGGGAATTTAAATTATTGATCGTTAAATTTTTGCATTGACAAGCGTGATAAAAGAAACAGGTCAAGTAAAAAAAGAACAGAGGAAGTATAGAATAACAAATAATGGTCTACATGTAGAATAGAATCCCCATTGATAATTACCATTTGGTTAAGAAGATTTTGTATGATAATGGGCAATTCGTTAAAAAGATTTTGTATGATATTGAGCAAGGTGGGCATCTCATCTTCAAGGGCTCCATTAGATGACAAAGGCCTCCACATGTTGGGCCATGGACCAGCCACCCAGAGATTTGTATGCCCACCATTAATTGACCTTATCAGCTTATCTTTGAATTTCAAGTTTTTCACTTGTGTTGTAGTTAGGGATCTCAATGTTGTGGGGCTGGTTATTCCGTACAACCGTACCACCACCACAGTTGTCACTAAATAATATGCAGCCCACTAGAGATACTAGATTAATTTGAATTTGGTTGGAATGAGGTTAGTTAAGAACTATGATCATTTAGTTTTGTTGGTTAAAGTATTAACAGTGACATCGAAATTTAGAGTATAATCTTAATTATATTGTGTCTATTGTGATTATCAGAACTAAAAATTAATAATTTACTAAAATCTAAAAAATAATTTACTTTAGCAAGTAATTGGGTTGGAGTATGTATCAGACATTCAGAAAATAAATTAAAAGTTCTTGCCTATAGGTGGTCAATGGTGGCGATTATGATGCATTCTATTTACATGATTTTTACCCTTTATCACATCTTATCTAAATTTATTTTTTCCGAACTTATCTTATCTGAACTTATTACCTCTGAAATAAGTAGAAATAAGGTGAACAGGGCCTAAAAGAAAATTTGAAGCCATACATTCACGCTACCTAGAGTACCTTACAATGGAAATGGGAGTGAGGTGGGTGTAACTGAGTCCATGCTCTCTCAGTACTCACGACAGGCACCACTTTACCTAATACCAACTATCACGTCCACACCCATTATCAATGACATCAATGACACCCTTGCGGCCTTGCCGGTTTGGCTCTCCTACCCTGAACCACCAGCTCTATTAGAGTATTAGTAGTAGTGAGAGGGTTATTGGTTAATATGAAGAGATAAGAAAATGCTCCATTCGTAAAATGCAGAATCAGCTTTACTAGACAAACTAGGGATTAAATGATAATTCCGGGGGTAAATGACTTACTGAGAATTGCTGATGTATGAGATTTTCTCTCCTATGGTATCACCAAATAAATCTAGAGACGGTATGTACTAGACGAACTGTTTTCAAATACAAGTACAAAATAATAAGTACCACTTAATAATAGTACCAGATAACAGCATAGAACAAGTAAAATTGCAGCTGCATCAATTCATCCTTCCTGAAATCACCAAGCTGCTGCATAAACAAACATCCTCAAAGCGACTAAAATTGGAGAGGTTAGAAAGCGACCCAAATTTATAATGAAACAGCAAATGAAAGGAAGCACAAAATCGAAAAAGATGTGAAGTCACTTTGTTTTGTATAGTGAACACTTTTAACCAATCTCAAAAACAATAAGATCCTCTTTTCACAAGGATAAATCTACTGCATAAATTTTTTATTTTTATAGCCATCAAAACTAAAAACCAAGTGAAATCGAAAAATAAGTCACTAAAGACAGCAACACACCGCTTCTAAGATTAGGGCGCCCTTCACAGGGAGTAAAAAAAAAAACTCGAAATTTACTGCAGAAACGATGGCAGGACAACGAACAAAACTTGGCTTAGTATTTGTAGTCCTTGACGTGAAGGCTCTCAGAGGCATCAGCTCCTCCAGCACCACCCTGGTATTTACCAAGAGTAGCCTCGGAGTTGGCCTTAGCCCTAGCGAGGAAGACCTCCTGGGCCTTTGGCACATTCTCTTCCTTGCCTGACCATGCCTTCAAGGTACTCTGCTGAAGTGCACGTCCGTATGAGAAAGATAGAGTCCATGGCTTCTTGGTTTGAAGCTTGTTCATGGCGTTGAGGTTGAGGGTTGCTTCCTCCTCACTCTGTCCACCAGACAAGAACATGACTCCGGGAACAGCTGGGGGAACAGTCCTCTGCAGGGTACGGACGGTGTACTCAGCAATCACCTCAGGGGCAACCTTCTTACTCTCTGATCCAGGGGTAACCATGTTTGGCTTCAAGAGGGTACCCTCAAGGAGAACATGGTGGTCATTGAGGGCCTTGTAGCAAGCTGCAAGAACACGCTCAGAAACCTCAGCACATCTGTCGATGTCATGGGTTCCATCAACCAAGATCTCAGGCTCGACAATGGGGACCAATCCATTCTCCTGGCAGATGATGGCATATCTGGCAAGACCGTTGGCGTTCTCCAAGATAGCAAGGGGAGATGGCTCAGTTGGGCCGATCTTGAGGACAGCACGCCATTTAGCGAAACGAGCACCAGCAGCGTAGTACTGAGCACATCGTTGGCCAAGACCATCAAGACCCTGAGTGGTTGTCTCACCATTGGTTCCAGCAAGCTCAACGGTACCCTTGTCAACCTTAATTCCGGGAAGGACACCACCTTCCTTCATGACATCAACGAAGGGCTTGCCTGGGAACACAATTATACATGTTAGCAATAGAATCAATTGAATGAGAAAAAAAATGCATCAAATAACTAGTTAACATACAACAAGTACAATACATTGTGAATGTATCAAAAAAATTACCATCAGCAGTCTTCTGGTAGAGAGTTTCCTCGAAAAGGATGACTCCACTAAGGTATGTAAGGGCAGTAGGGGTGGTAAAGAGAAGCTCACGGAGAGCTCTCCTGTTGCTCTCAACATTCTCAACATTGATACTGGCAAAACGCTTTCCAATGGTGCCGGTTGACTCATCAGCGGCAAGAATACCCTTTCCGGGGGTGGCAATGTAGGCAGCGTTGGTGATGAGCTCATCTGAAACAGAATAAAAAGTTTTCAGATTTTGAACATTCTTTTATAGCCTTTCAAACATTTCAAAGAGAAACATATAATACTTCACAAAGACAATATAATAGTGGAAACAAAGACTAACAGAGGGCAGGAGACATTGTAAAACATTTAAGTACGTAAAAAAATTAAATTATCAAACACAATAGAATATGAACTCTTAAACACCCTATAACATCATCAGATCAAATTGTATGACCCTCTGAAACATATTCAACTAATCATATCTCAAATTTCTTCCTAATGGTGTTACAAACCTAGAACGCTTCTATCTCAAGACAACACAAAATAAATTCAAAATCAATACTCAATGCTCGAAAACGAATAAGACGAACATTAATTCCATCAAAATCACCACAGAATTAAGAAAAATAAAAAACTAGACATGTAAGTGGCAATAATGAGGCCTCAAATCATCCAAATTAACACAGAACAAACTTCGGAACAACTTCAAACCTTAAATAATTCAAGATTCCAGAATACAAACCCAGTATTCTGTTATACATCTGAAACACAAATCTCTAATGCAAACAAAACAAATATCAACAAACTGCGAGAAGCTTCGCATACAAAATTTTAAAAAACATTTAACTGGCTTGTTGTAATCATTCAAAATGAATCTAAAGCATAAGATCAACCAAAAACTTACGTCAAATTTGTAGATATTCAGATGCATAGATCTAAGCAATTTGAGGCAAATTAAGCTTAAAAAAAATTGAAAAAAACTGTACTTTCAAAAAAGTTCCATTAAAAACAGCAGCAAATCACAACAACAAAGCACAACTACAAACATCTAATAACCTAACATTTATGACGAATTAATAACAAAAAAATCGCAAATATTTTGCAACTAAACACAACAGAACCAGGATTCTAGCGTCGATCTAAACCGAAAACATCAAAACTTGAAGAAAATCATAGAAATCTATCCAAAACAGACATAAACAAATCACAGATCAGATCTAATTCCAAAGCAAACTAAACAAATTTATCAAATCGAAACAAAAAATAAAAAAAAAACGAAGCAATGACAAGCTGATAGATCTACATAAGAGAGAAAGATACCAGCGTATTTGCCTCTGTAAGCAGTCATGGTTGCGAGAGAATTCTAGAGAGAGAAAATGAGTTTTGTTTTAGAGAGAGAAAGGTTGAAACAGAGAGAGAAATGGAGACGAAGGAAGAAGAAAGGAGAAAGGTGGGATTTATATAAGGGAGCTTTTGGTTAAACGAAAATCGACGCAGATGCCTCGAGAATATCGGTATAACCCGAATATTTGACCCGTTTTTGAATTGTTCCTCAAGAAACTGTTTGTTGGGTGTGGATGACCCGTTTTGTGTTTGACCCGTATTTGAATTCTTCTCCACGAAATTAATTTCTGTGTATTTTAAGGCGGCTATTATTTTAATTGTACCCAAAAGTGTCCTCTCACTTTAATTTTTGACTTATTTTCTTTAATTATTTTAGGGGTTGGTGAGGTACACTCTCTATGTTTAGGGGTTTGCATAGCATATTTTTGGAGGAAATCTAATTATTTAGATGAAAAAGGATTTACTAGAGTTAGGTGAGAATTTGAGGTTTGGTGATATTTTAAGCTTTGATTCCTAAAAATATTTAACTCTTCATTTTTATTAGGACATATTTAGTTTATACGAACACCTCGATTATTTATCTTATTTTTGTTGAACTGAAATTATTTTAAAAAACTTTTGTAAACACCCGGTTTACATTAATATTAGTGTACATCGAGTCATCGAGCAGTGTAAGAGTAACTTTAAAATCTTACAATTTTTATTTGTATTGGGTTACTTTTATGCACATTAGGGTAACTTTTGAACACTTTAGGCTATCTTTATAATGGATATATAATAATTATTGTACACCCGATTTTTTTTAAAGTTTGTGAATTGTTTTTACTGAATTAAAATTATTTTTACTAAACTAAAATTAATATAAACTAAATTTAGCATACAAAAATATTTATCTGGTAATGTTTATCTTTTCTTATTTGAATGTGGTTAAAGATTTTAATTGAGAAATAGAATGCACAATTGCACAAGTAAGATTGTGAAATAAGTGAAGGTTAACGTTGTTGTCGTTGGTTTGGTGACAATAAGGATAGTAAACTTATCTCAGCAATAATTATCTAATGACAATTTATAGTTAAATATCTTTATTTCTGGTAATATACAAAGTTACAGTATAAAAATTTCGTATTTGTAAAGCACATATTAATATGAATCTGATGATCGTAGAGGTGTTAAATCGGGTATCCAGATGGAGTTTGGGTTGACCCACGATGGATTGGGACGTTTGGGTCGGGTAATGATGGTCATTTTAATCTTACAAACCAAATCAAATCGGGTTGAGCTTCATCAGATTCGGGTTATAGTTGAGTTCAAATATGGTCGGATACAAATTGAATTGGGTCGAGTCAAATTCAAGTCGTGCCATATCGAGTTAAGATGAACTCATATCCGGATTTTATTGGGTTTATTTGGGTCAAAGTGAATTTATTTGACTTTGGATCGTGTCATTTTGAATTCAGTTAGATCTTGGTTCAAATCACTTCAGTTCCAGTTAAAATTTGAATGTGGTTGCTTCGATTATTAGCTCATTCTCACTTATAAAACTTTAGTTTCGATATTGGGTCGAATAATATGAATTTGGGAAATCTAATCTAATATCATATAACTAATATATAAAGTTAAACTTTTAGTCAGGCCACGAGACGCCGACACTTAGCATTCGAACTTTTTGCCGACGACACTTAGCATTCGAACTTTTCGCCAAGTGTCGCGTCACGTTGGATATATTTAAATAGACTTCATAGGATGAAAAAAATTAGTTTATAATTCTATTTTCAATCAAATTTGGATAGAATTTTAGGATAAAATTGTTAGTTAAGAGTTTTGTTTTCGATAAAGATACCAATATTTCATATGTATAAATTGAATTATAATTTTATTCAAAAAAAATTAGATTATAACTCTAAAAAATACCAATATTATTATTAACCATTTACATGCCTATTACATAGTTTAAACTGTCACAAAACAACATCAATTCCTAACTTATTTTGTATTAGAGATAAATTTTGAAATTTGACATATACATTAAAAATTTATCTCAAAATTTAATAAACAACCCGGGCATCGCACGGGCACAAAACTAGTATATATATAAAGGGGAGTTTTTCCCCGAGTTTTTAGAGAGCCACGTAGGATTATTTTTTTTAGCGCGCCATGTAGGATTTTGAATTTAAGTTGTAGCCAATTAAATAAGAAATTATTAATTTATTTTACAATTAAATAATTCAAATGCCACGTTAGCAAAATTGGCGAATGAAATTTTAAAGTTTAAATTAATTAAATACAAAATATTATCTTTTGAGATTAGAAATTTTATCTAATATTTTAAAGCTAATATAATAAAAAAAAAATCACATAAATATGAAAAATATTTTTTTAAAAAAATACTAATAAATCGTTCATCGCACGGGCTTCATCTAGTTAGGAGCTGAATTCAAATGAACTGAACTGATTAGAGTTGAACTAAACTGATTGGAGTTGAATTGAAATGAACTGAAATTAATTTGAAGTGAGCAGGCCCTAAGTTCAGATCGATAATATCATATAATTTTAGATAAGTTTATACAAATTCATATTAGTTCAGATAAATTCACATTAGTTTAAATAAATTCATATAAGTTCGAATAATTTCATATACATTAAGATAAATTAATATATGTTCACATTATTTCATATAATTATGATATTTTCATATAAATTCAAATGATTTCAGCTAACTTCAATAAATTCAAATAGTTTCAAATTGATACGGAGTATGAGTTTAGATAATTTTAGATACGTTTGTATAAATTCAAATAAATTTAGAATTGTTTTATATAAATTTAGAAGTTCAATTAAGCTGAAATAAATACATATTCGTCAAAATCAGATGAATATAACACACCTAATCACATTAATATATCATATATACATATTTATATTATAAATTTCAAATTTTATACATTTTTGGAAGTATATTTTATGGTATATAATGATAATATAGGATATTTTTTACTTTAGAGTCTTAAAATCATGGATTAATTCACTAATACATCGACCAATGTACTATTCCTATAATGTTGACTCGATTCAAACATATTCTTATTGCTTTGCCTTACTTTTGTGGTATCTCAATTGTTACTATTTATTTATTTATGTATTACCATTTTATTATAGTACTCCGCATCAATTAATCGATTATTATTCCTTTCTATGACTCCCTTCTTTGTTCTCTCTACAAATTCTACAATTCACAACTTGAATGTTGACTTTAGAAAGATTTCATCAAACAACGTAACTCAAATGTAAGGATATATGATTCCAAGGTTGAGCCGTCAATCATTCTCTACCACGAATGTATAGTGGTAAAGAATTTGATTTCAGGATAGAATAAAAAGTTATGTTTAGAAACAAGTTGGGTTTAATTGAATTATGAGTAATTTCAGGTCGGTTTTAATTGGGTCATGGTAAGTTTCAAATCGGATAATTAAAGGTCGGGTAAAAATTGGTATTTTTTCGGGTCTAAATGGTTTCAGGTAGATTTCATTTCGGCTAGATCGAATTCAGATCTTATATTATCGAGTCTTATTGGTTTCGGTTTAAATATGAGTTGATTTCAAATTGGGTTTGGATCATAAATTACCAGGTGGAAACGGTTTCGAGATAACGTCGAGTCGACTCCAGATCAGATTCAGATAAAAAATACCCGGGTCCAACCAGTTCGAAAACAGTTCGGTTTCAACTTTCAAGTAAACCTTTCGGGTCGGGTATGTTTTTGACAACCCTAGATGTCCCTACTCATTTGATAATTTTTTATTCAACTAATTATTGTACAAATCAGGTCGTACAAATCAAATTTAGAAATCAGATTGATAAGAACAAATTATATTAGATCAAATCGTGTGAACTAAACATAGCCATTTGTGGTGATAAAGAATATATGGTAGACAGGTGTTTGAAAATTTATTTAGAATATGCAGTGTCATTTTTTTTCAAGCTAAGGTATTTTACTAGACTAAAGGGTCGTTTGGTTGGGGTTTAATCAAAGAGAAAGGAAATGAACATGCCTCATTCCCTTTGTTAATGTTTGTTTGTCACTTCTTTCATTTCCTTTACCCATTTTATTTTTTACTTCACCGAAAACCATTCTACATTGATTCCCCACCCCTAGCCTTTTCCACTCACTTTCCTAAGCTACCACTACACACACCAGCCACTTCCTTACCCAGTTACCCCCACTAAATTGAACAACCACCTTGTCGGAACTCGCCGCACCTCCCCCACTCCTCGCCTGAAACCGTCGCACCTCCCTCTATCCCCCAGCTCAACGAAACTCGTCACACCTCCCCCTCCCCTTGAAAATACCTCCCGCTCTTGGAAAACCTTTCCCTGCCCACGAAAAACCCTAGAAAACCATGCTCTTCCTCTTAAAACCATCCAACGTCCCTTTCCCTACCCTCGAAATTAAACCAAGGTTTCGAGGATAGGGGAAGGTACAACTGACGGTTTTCTAGGGGTTTTCGTGGACGAGGGAAGGTTTTCAGAGGACGAAAGGGGCGGGGGAGGTTTGAAGACGGGTGGCGAGAGTTGGTGAGGCCATGGCTATGCGGTGGAGTGGCTAGAGAAGTAGGAATGAGGGGTTGTGTGGTGGTGGTGGTGGTGATTCTCTTTGTTTTTTTTTAAAACAAACAATATACTACATGGAAAGGGTTCATTCCATTCTCTTTGATTATCTTTGTTTATCCCATTTCGTTTACCCCATGCAAACCAAACGACCCCTGGCCAAATAGTTATGGAAAAATAAATTTTTAAAATGGTTGATAAGGATAATTTTATTTATAATTTAATTAATTTCATATTTGAATAATTAGGTGACTTGAACATTTGAAGATGTTCTTCCTAAGAGGAAAAGTGAATTGCTAAACACCGCCGGCCGAAATAATCACCACCGCCATCATTTGGTGTAAATGGACAACCATGCCCTTACTACTACACCACCCCTTATACTCCCTGGCAAACCACCATCCCTTCCGACCGGCAAAGACCACCACCACCCTGACCGGCAACCCACCACATACATCACCCTTTATAACGACCCATCACATCCCCCTCTATGAAGATCCACCACTTTCCCTCGCTCGCGGAAAGGTGGAAA